TTGGAAGTGTTTAGGTCGAGGGAAACAGGATGGGGAGTTAGGTCATTGGACGTGATCCATGCTGGTGCTTTTATATGCGAGTATGCAGGGGTTGTCCTCACTAGAGAGCAAGCCCAGATTTTCAATATGAATGGTGGTGGTTTGGTTTATCCAAATAGGTTTTCTGCTAAATGGGCAGAATGGGGAGATTTATCTCAGATCTATCCAAATTACAGCCGTCCATCATATCCTGAGCTTCCACCACTGGATTTTGCAATGGATGTGTCAAAAATGAGGAATGTTGCCTGTTATATTAGCCATAGTTCAGCTCCAAATGTGCTGGTGCAATTTGTGCTGTACGATCACAATAATTTGATGTTCCCTCACATCATGCTTTTTGCAATGGAGAATATCCCACCTTTGAGGGAGCTAAGCCTTGATTATGGCGTGGCTGATGACTGGACAGGAAAGCTTGCTATTTTCAACTAACTGATTAAGCTTAAAGAGGACGTGCAACTTTTTTGTGTGGTGCAGCACTGTGTTCTGAAGACATGATGTGCTAAGGTAAACTTAACTATCCCTGTTTGCAGCTTGACGTCTAGCCTGGACACATATTAGTGCATCTTATTCTGTTTGTCCATTGTTATAATAGGATATGTTTTTGTAGTTCTGGTAGTTTGCAGTAGTAACTGTGTCTCCTGTTGGGTTATTATATTTTTTTTATATTCAATCGAGTTATTGTGTTTTATTGTGCATAGGCATTCCTTTCCTTACCAGGTTGTCTTCTCGTGGAGCTCTTGTTATTTATTTTTTTGTCTAGTTCTTGCAGTCAGAACAAGTCAAATTCTGTTCTATTCTTTCCTATCTTTTACTTATTAAGTTGTGATTAAATTAGTATCCCATTACTGCTATAAATCATAATACTGGCTTTGTAAGGGTAAATCTTTTATGATGTTTGTTTTAGGGTGTCTTTACCTTAGCTATTCTGGTTTCTTGGAACAGAACATCATTTCTTTTGCCCTTGATGTGATATTTCCTGCAAAGCTGAGCTAAAAACTACATTTTCTATGTTTGGAGTAATCTGCAGCATGGTCTCTGAATTCCAATTTTGCCAATTAGGTTTCTGAGTTTTAGAGTTTACGTTCACTGTGGTGCTCTCATGCATGTCCATCAGAACCAATTTAACAATGTCATGCCACTTAAAAGTTTATGGATGATGCTTTTGTCATCCGTGTTAATAGTTTGATTTTGATTTGCCCTGTGTTTCTTAATTGTTTTCAAGACATGCTGTTAACCCTCCTTTTCTTTTTGATATTGTTTTTCTTTGTAAATAATCTGTCTTCCTCTGAAATAGATGAAATAGATATGATCAAGAAAACATCGATGCCTTTTTAAATTTGTGACTCCACTCAACTGCTTGATGCTTATTTGCCATTAAGATTCTAGATATGCTCGGGCTGAAAGTTTATTCAATAAGAATAGTCTCGGTTACAAGCAAATATTATGAAACTTCCTCTGAGCCATCATGTCGCATGCTTCCTTGATTTTATGACTGGGTTGATTGTTAAATAAAACCTCACCATCCCAAATGTTCTAATGGCTGCACATGGGAATTTGCCATTTGTAGGGCGGGCTGATAACAATTGGACAGAATTGGACTGGAAGCACTTGATTGCTGTCCATGAAAAGTCAGAGCCTTGAAGGGCTGTGTAAATAAAGGAAATTAAATGTTTGTGGCCTTCTCTAAATTAACTATAGATATCATTCAGTTTTTCCAAGTCTTTATCATTTTTTAGGATATCCTCTTTTACTCGTAAGCATCTCCTTGTGCAATCCATCAATGTTTAAACATCCATTTATGTATTGAGGCTCATTTAGTTTTTTGGCTTTCCTTATTGTCCCTAAAAATAGATTTATTAGCACATGATAGTTATTACTGCCCTGTAGAATGTAGTATTTATGCTAAATCTTCACGAAACCATTACCCTAGTTTCTTATTAAGATTGAATAAGGTTTCTAAGCTAGCATTTGGTTTACCATCTCGGGAATAAAGAGATGGAGAGATTGGTGTATTTCTGTTTTGGAAGTATAAAAATTCATTTTAAAATTGTCCTAGAAACAAATTTATTTTATCTTTGTCTCTACAACGAAACAAGTTTCTGTCTCTTTTGTAGTTGTCCCTTATGTCCTGGGATATTTATCAAATGCAACCTGATCAACATTCTGTTTTGTCCCTTTTTGTTTAGTCATCTCTAGTTCTCTACACAGCATAAAGATTTTATGGTTACCATAGTTTGCGTGCAAAACCACAACTAAATAACTTGGAAAAAAGAAAATGATTGGCAAATACCAAAAAATAAAATTTTGAAAAGATAGAATTAAATAACACAACCATTCAGTTACGCATCTAAAGCAAGAGAAGGCAATAAACTTCAAACTAAATTGTTGTGAGGCTCAAGATGAAGTCTTGTAGATGAAATTGTGCGCTTAACTCCATTAAATGAACACTCAAATATTTGTACAATGAATTAGATTTCATGTGATAGTGTCATTGTATAGTGATTGGTTTATTTATAAAATTGTTAATGAGAATTAATAAAACTAATGCATCAGTGATGTTTGTTATCTAAATTTTCCTGATAATGGATAAGTGCTTCACTTTCCTACTAATTGTTTCACTAACTTCCATAAACACATCAGTAATCTCTTTCATTTGTTAGTGTTTCCTCCATGTGTTCCATATTTAATCTCTTAAATAAGTAGTTGACTGATGGCGGGAGCTATTATTCACAGAGACAGAATTTTTTGGGTTAGGGGGGTTCTCAAACAGTGATTTCTATACATAATTACCTTTATTCATGAATGTACGGGGCAATTGTTGGGGTTTCATCTCTTGAAGACATGTTGAGATATTCCCCCCAACCTCTTTAATTTAATAATACTTTTCTCAAGAAAGTTTTCATGAGAAAGGAGAGGGTGTTGATTGGTAATCAAGTCATTTCATTTAAGTGCATCAATATCTGAACTTTTATGAGTGTTTATCAGAGCACTATAAACGCTGGCTGGCCAACCTGCTTAACAGTCTCAACAGCGAGTGTTTGCAATTGTAAGTGTACATGCCCAATAATTTCTAATGGAGATTCTATCTAGTCACCTCAAAAAGAGGAGCAACTGACTTTCCAGATAGTGTTGTTTGTGAATGTAATATCGAACCTTAGGCTGCACGATGGGTTGGTGGTCCCATTTATCAAAATACCCATGCAATCTGGGATTTCATACATTGGATGTTCCTTAGGGCTGCAAATGGTCTGGTTCTGAAGTCATTAGTGACTTACATGGTATATATCACAGCTGTGATGTCATGTTCATGCAACTAATTGTATAGCATGCACGGAAATGTGAGAATCAATTTCTTATCTCATGCCAACTTTGTGCAATATGATTTAATTCTTCGCAGCTTTCTTCTTGTTCTGTTCTGTTTTTTTTTTTTGTTTTTTATTCCATAGAAAAAGAAATGCATGTTCTCATGTTCATCACCTTTCGCAGGTGGGAGTTGGAAAATGGATCCTCCCCGGTTTTGACCAAGGTCTTCAATTTTCTGGCTGCTATCTTTTTACCTTGAGAGTTGATGCTACAGAGTCCTCTATTAGAAAGGAGCATTCACCTATCATCTGCACTACAAGGCTTTCTCTGCCGCAACCCCCCCTCGATTTCATACTTCTGGTTTCACAGGTGATTAAAATGGTGAAACAAAATGCTGGAACTGAAAATTTCTCCGCAAATATGTGGATGCTGCTGCACTGGCATTTTGACTTCGTAGTTCACAGAATTTCGAGGATGAAGTTTTGTACACTAATTCCTTTAGTCAATTTACAAAGGGTTTTCTGTAAGCGTATTACTTGTATGTTGACTGGATGAACTTTTTGTAACTTGTATATACAAAGTTCCAATTGTATAAGCTTGTATAGAAAATCTCAGAGATAGCCAGTCATTTTATTTTCAATATCTTAGATTGCATTTTGTTATTGAAATGAGGAGTGCGATTGAGTGATGATTGGTGGCTAAGATATTTCATTATGTTACGTGCTTGGTTGGCATGCCCCAGATGCGGGACTCCTTCCTTCAGGCGAAGAGTGTACCTGTTGTTCTGGGGTGATGAATTGGTTGAAAGGACTGGCACAGCAGCAGGGTAGGTTCATATATGCACATCTGTCAGCATGCGTTAGGTTTATATGTGCACGGTATCTGTTAAGCTTCGAATGATGAAAGGCATGTTTGTTGCGCCAGAGTTGTCTTGGAATGAGTAACCATGCAGCATCTGGTCCTCGCTGGTGAGATCTCAAAAGCAATTCCTCGTAGAATTTTTGTGCACTTGACAAATTTCTCTTCATGGGTGTGGCGTGAGAAATCTTGATACCGATTCCTGCTAGACAGTTCCCCAATTCGCATGAATGTGAACTGGGGAACCTTGTCAACTCTCAAGAGGGCATGCCAAGCTATGATGTCAGCTTTTAGAGTTTGAAGCTTAAATGTTATCAGTTTGCCATTGTGATTCAAAACTCCAAGCATTGGTGCCAGCAACACTTCAAAACTAAAATGAACGGCCCCTTGAGGTGAATCATGTTCTATATTCTTTCATCATTTTCAAATTTTGATGCAGAGAAGCAGAGGTGAAAGGAAAAGGACGGAGATATTGGTGCGTGTATTTGCTGGAAGAGTTCGGGTTCCGATAAAGAAATCCAATTTGGCAATCAATTGAAGCTATCGAATTGGTGGGCATGTCTGCATGTCTCATTCACCATTTTCCTCTCCCTGCCGACTTTACAACTTTGCCATCCCCATAATAAGGTATCTAAATAAGAAGTCAGGGACCAATACATGGAGGCAAAGAGCTGACCAGATACAGGTACAATTTTTTTCATTTTCAACTGAAAGGTCTGTCGAAACTATTTCGCTTCCAGTATCACCTCCCACAACATCACAACATTTGTTATGAGGTTAATCAGAAAGCAGGCAGGTATGTGAGAAAACTCTCAAAATTCCAATAATTGTAACACTAACTACCTCCAGTTTTAAGTTCGTTGGGCAGGTTAAATCTTCTTGAAGGAACGGAAGTTTTAAACAAGTAGAACCGCATGACCATGCATTTATAAGTATGTTTAGGATGCAATTTCTTTGATGATGTTCAGCGCTGGCCACTTGGTATCCCCATCACTAAAACATTGCTATTCGATGGTAATAGGTACCATTGGCGAAGCAACTAACTTTGCCATCACATAAGCGCACACTGCCGATGACACTTCCTCTGAAATTGGGTAGCATTCAGTTTTCTTTATGTACATTTATGCAATCTTGAGGTGAGTTCATGGTAGTGTAATCGATAGTTAATATCACAAATCCCCTTAATCACACATCTCATAAAGGGCATCAAGCTTGGGAGGTTATTGTTCCATTTTTTTCCAAAGCCCACTGTCTGGCTCGTTCCATCTTCCGTTTACGCCATTCGTCTAAAGCTGAGTCAATATTTAACACGTTAGTAGGATCATCAGCATGATAGTATAATCAACAACACACCTTAAGAACATAAAGTACTGAAAGCGTAAAAGTTCTGAGGCACCATATAAACAAATACATTAACTATCAATAGCCATATAAATTATGAATCCAGAGACATAAATAGTGTCCAAGACCTAAAATTACTGAACGCAACTAATCATTTTGAATGAATGCGTTTAGGGAGAGGCAATCTTAATGTATTTAACATTCCAACTGACCAAACCATAACCAACGGGATAGTTTGATATTTTATAGCCAGGAAGTTTATTGTTTATTTGATGTAGCAAAGCAATCATTACCATCTCACAGATATAAAGCTTTTCTCACAAAACACAGCTGAAAGATAGAAAATACAGGAAGCAATTACCTTTCAAACTGGAAGCATTATTAAGCGAACGGAAATCCTGTAACCTTTTAGAAAGATCAGCAGCAGCAGTCTGCTTGATATCTTTCTGTTGGACTGTTTCAGGTCCTGCATGTACTTCTTGCTCAATTTCCTTCACCTGCAAACACAGAAGGAACCAACTTCTGTAAAGAACTTGTTCCAGTCCATGAGTTCGCACAATTTCCCTCCTCATTCTTGTTTGATACAAGGTAACATGTAAGGGGGAGAGAGAGATTCCATTTTTTGTGGGAAATAAGAGCATGCCAAATTTCAGGCACATAATCTAATAGTCAAAACGGAAGTAAGAAAACAAAAGCACAGGCAAAGCTTCATTTCCAAAAAGTTTTTCATGTTGTTCTGTGGGATTTTAATCAAACATATAACAAGCATGTTAAGATTCAAAGCAAACACCATACTCTTTTTATAAGATTCCAAGGTTGCATGGCAAGGCGCATCTCTTCAGACTCCTTGATGTAGCTGAGCTTAACTGCGTTTTGAATTGTTAGGCGTTAAAACACAGTTAAGAGTTTCCATTGCTCCTGAAATGATTTAGAAACACAGTAAAGAAATAAATAGAACTCGGTGGCAATCAAGAAATACCACCATCAAGTTCAAAAGAGTTTCATTCAAAAAACAGCAACCTTCAAGAGCCATGCATGGCCTTGACAATACTGATACCAAGCTTAATACCAGATCCTTTGATTAATGTTCAAGAACGGTGAATTTAAATTAGTACATCTTTAAGCTATGTGGATGTAGTTTAATGTTAACTAAATGCCTTAAATATAGCAAAGCATTGACATTCACCAAACTATCACTAAAGGGTTTGTTTCCAATCTTAAAACAACATACAACTAAAAAATGTTGAAAGCATGCTGCCATAGTCTTGTTTTGAATTGTGATTCAGACTAGTCATTTACATTACAGAAGTCTCAGGCAAAAAAGAAAAAAAATTGTGAAGAAAATTGTTTTAGATTCATATGAACTAGAAGAAGACAAGAACAGTAGATCTAGGAGAAGCCAGGAACGAGTGATAAAATGTGGTAGAAATATTTAGGTTAATCTTACATTATTAAGTCTAGAGATCATGATTTTCTGAACATTCTGCACATGCACCACTGTCTGATTGAAATAAAAGGTCACCAATATGGGTACAATTAAAAGAATATTTTGTTGATTAGTTCCAAGTGATAGCCAATACAGAAATAGTATATAATGGCAAAATTACTGGAAACATTCAGATCTCTGGGAGACTGTGGGGAGAAAACCTTTAATTGAGATAAGTTACAAAAAGAAATAATTGAGATACAATAGTTCTGATCCTTCAAGATAAAAAAGATGGAAAAGAAACATAAAAGAGACCTAGAGTGAGTTGGATGATCGAAAACAACATTTCATGAGGTCGGACTTAAAGTCGGTTTCAGTTTCTCCAATATCCATGTCCTAATGGAGTAAAATATTGTATTTGACAATGAAACTACATGCAGTGGTTTTTCTTGAGTTCAAACCAGCTATAACATCCACATAACATCACAGATAGAGAGTAATCATGGTGTTCTTTTGTGATGACGCACCTCTTCAGTTTTTTTTCTTCTTTTCATTATTGTTTTTTACATATAAACAATGAAGTTTCCCTGTTACAGGGCTTCCTGGCGGCCAGTTATCTGAAGAAATATGAAGCACAAGCAGTACTTGCGAGGTGAAAAATGGTGAAATTTCAGATAACAGCAGTCTATATAACTATGCAACAATTCATCTATCACACTTCCCCCTCTCAGAATGGTGAAAAGTTGACAACTAACATACATACACCATCAACCGAAGCAAATCCAATTAAATACAACACAGCGCCATAGTAGAGTCTGATTGATCAATATACTATAATTATCTCATAATGCACTTAGACAACATCCTTGGGTTCAAGTCTCGTCTAAAATGAGCAATGAACTGCACGTTACACCCTTTTATCCAATACAGATTCCAAAAATTAGAAAAAAATCCCGAGGGTCAATTCTCAACCAAAATGAGCATTGAACTACTTGTAACACCCTCTTATCTAAAACAGATTCGAAAAAATTGTCTTTTATGATAATTTTCCTTAGATTAAGCTAAAAGGAATCTATCCAAAAAGAGGAAGCAAAATTACTCGAGGCAATAAATCCTATTCCTAGTAAGGTGCACTCTTTTGAAAAGTGTTGGAACCCTAGGGTGCGTTTAAATGGGAAGGTTTTACCCTACATCCAAACTTGATCATATCGAAGGCTTGTAAAGGATCAGAACGGTTCTGGCTATGACTCGTACATATGCACGAGACTCAAATGTTAGTCTGAAGTGTCGCTTCAACTTAATGCCAAGAGCAGATATCAAGCTTCACTCGCAAGGTGCAAATTGAGATATTACAACAGCGCCTTGGAAAATATAACAAGTCTTCATAAACATCAAAGGATGAGTCCTGTCCCAGTGAAACAAGAGGGGATGAAACATTCTTATACTTGGAAAGATTTCCCATTCATTTGGAAAGTCCTTGATCATAAAATCCAAGACTCCACCCATGTTCTTAACAACCAACAGAGACGCGATACAACAAACGACTCTGTTTATTTGGGCTACAAATCACAAAACCAACAAAATAGAGCAAAGTGATAAAATCCGCCTAGCCGATAACTTTTTATTCAATTCAAACATATACCCATTATTATTCCAACGGTATAGTAAAATTTTAAGAGAGAAAGAGAGAGAGAGCATGCCTGAATTGGAGTGGTCAGGTGAGAGTTTGATGTTGCGGGAAGAGGGAGAAGAGAGAGAGCCCTGAAGCAAGAAAAGGGCTGTGAATGTATTCAACAAAGTCATGAATATTGTTGCGTTCTTGAAGGAAAGTCTTCCTTTGCATGACTGCAGTGTCTCCATTTTCTTCTTCTTCTTCTTCTCGACAATTTTCTTGTTTTGTTTTGAGTGATGAGAATGATCGATAGATGATGTCCTTGTTTTTAATAAAGGAAAGGAGCAGGGCTTCTTCTTTCCTTTTTCTTCTTGTTCGGACAAGACAGGCCAGCTAACCTCAACGGAAATGTTGCTTCTCTGTGGGACCCACTTTGAAATTGATTACTAATAACCATCCCTCGTATTAAAAACATTTCAATTAAGCCCCTCTATTACTAATTGTATCAACCTGACCTTTTTCTTTTTCTTCCTTCTTCCCCACCTCATTCGATCGATTTATGCGCCAATCAAAATTACAAATCTCTTGCATTGACTTTATGCATTTACCTGAACTTTAATATATATAAAATTCTTAAATTTTGATTTGATTATGCCTTAAATAAGTATTTTTCTTCCTTCTTTTAAAATTTTTTTTTGGATATGTGTTAAAAGATATAAATTTAAGAAATTACAGTTTATATCATAAACTTTAATATACATATAATAGTATAATAGTTTATGAGTGATGCACCTAAAAATATTAACAAAATAATATAATTATTTACAAGTTTCTCATTACTTTTTATCTAATAACTAAAAAGATTTTAAGTTAAATATTACAAATTTATTATCCAACAAAAAACTCTAATCATTTTCTTTCTAAGTTATCAAACTTTAACCGGGGTTGACACGGTCAATGAGCTAGGTCTCGGATTGCATGAGTTAACTAAAAAAAAAATTAATATTTTATATAAAAATATTGACAGACAATTTATGTGAATATAACTTAGACATGATATAAATATTAAATTTTAAAATATTTTTTTATCTCATATTGAAAAAAATACTATATTAATATATTATCCTTCTAAGTTGAAGTATTCAAACGAAATTTTTTTTTATCTTATATTGAAAAAACTTAATTTTTTTTCTAATGAACATAGAGTATATAACATAATTGTTAAATTCGGACTGGTCCGGTGGATCAACCCGGTGGTTGGACCGATCCAGGTAAAGTAAAATACCAGGATAAGCAAAAACTAAATGAAACCTGATTGACTCGTGACTTAGGCAACTTGGCAAAACCCGATTGAGACCCGGGTTTTTTCTTCAAATGTATTTTTTCTCCTATCTAGAGATTTTTTTAATATATTTTTTAGTTGGTTATTAATCATTTTCAAAGTTTACTATATAAATACTAAAAGAATATTCTATATTTTAAATGTGGGATTTAAAGTTTTTTAGTAGATATATTCTATGTTCATAAGAAAAAAAATATTTTTCATTGTGGTATTTGAAACCCTTTAGTATTTTTTTAATGTGAAATAATAAAAAAATTTAGTTTAAATACTTCAACTTAAAAGAATAATATATTAACATAGTATTTTTTCAACGTAGGATAAAAAATCTTTTGAAATAATTTTTTAAACTTTATTATTTATAACACGTATAGACTATATTGACATTAATTATTTCTTAATTTTTTCATATGAAATATTAAAACTTTAAATATTTTTTTTGAAATTTTTGTAGGTTGATTCAGGTTATTAGGGTCAATCCATATAATCCAGGACCCGACTCCTTGACTGGGTCACTCCTTGGGTTGGGTCTAATAACTATGATATATATATTAAAAGGCTTTAAATTTCACATGAAAAAAATTATTCTAGTATTTATATGGTGAACTTTAAAAATGATTATTAACCAACTAAGAAATATATAAAAAAAAATGGATTTTTGGTTAGGAGAATAAACACATTTGAAAAAAACTCAGGTCTTAATTGGGTTTTGCTTAGTCGTCGGGGTCACGGGTTAACCTAGCAGGTCAATCGAGTTTGCTGGGTTTTTACTCATCTCGTTCTTTATCTTACCTAAACCAGTCCAGCCACCAAGTAGACCGGGTCTTGATTTGACCTATTAGACCAGTTTAAATTTAATAACTATGTTTCTTCCATCCATTTTCCTGCATTGAACGCGAAACTTTGCTGGTATCATCTTTTTACTTTGATTTGATTATACTTTAAATATGTCTTTTTCTTCTTTTTTAATTTGGATATGTGTTAAAAGATGTAAATTTTTAAAAATTATAGCTTGCATCATAAATTTTAATGCATGCATAATAACTTATAAGCAATATACCTAAAAAAGATTGACAAAAAATATTTTACTATTTGCAAGTTTATCATTATTTTTTTATCTAATCACATTACAAATTTATCATGGAATAAAAAACCTTAACATTAAAAATTTATTATCCAACAAAAAAACCATAATCATCTTCTTTCATCCACCTTCTTACTCTAAATACCAAACCTAACCATGATTGTTATTTTCCTTTGATCCCTTCAAATCCACCATCTCCAACTATAAACCCATAGTCCAACTGAACTCACATGAAGCTGGTTTATGGCTAGAGTTTTTGGTATGCCATAGAAGAGTGAAGAATCCTAAATGAAAAACTGTGACATTTCAAGAGAGTATTTGTTTCTGTGATTGCTTATGTTTTTGAAGCAAACCATAGAAAAAAAATTGTTTGCTAACTAAGAAAACGTTATTTACTCTTTGTGGGACCTAATATATTCCACATTTAAACCATAGGGCAGCCGATAGTAGCTTCAAACTGCTTCTCTATCTTCTAAAAACATTTTTCATTGTTCACTTTAAACTCTTCACTATTCACTTTACAAAAATGAATAGTGGAGAACGGTGGGGAACATTTTCACTATTCTAGCTGGATCATTTTTTATTTTTAATTGTGTTTTATTTAAAAAACTAGTGTTTAATATTATTTAATGACACTATATAAATTAGAAAGATATCGTATGATGATGTAATAGTTGTAAAATTTGATCGTAATCTCAATTATGTTCCTGATGATATTTTACCTAATGTTTTTGCATGCTCAATAAACCATGAAAATTCTTATCGGATGAATTTCGTACATGATGAAATTTTAGATAGTTTAATGGAACAATAAAAAATATTTTATATAAAGTATTATTTATTTTATGATGTAATAACAATTGTTAAATCTACAATATTTAAATTAAAAACTATCTATATATATAATTTAAGTTATTTTATAATCTCATTTTAAAAAGAACACAATACATTAAATTTATTAAATATCAATTTCAGCTACAATTTTAACCAAATATATATATAAATATCAAATCAATTCAATTCAATTCAAAATTTTTTTTATAAAACAACTTATTTTAAACCACAATAATAAAAACTATCACAGTAATCAACACAATTACTACTCTGAAAAACTAAAAAATGACATAAGATATAGATTACAGGAAACAGAGGAAACAGAGAGAAGATTTATAATATTAAACTACAAAAAGGAAGAATCTGAACAGATTACAATACATCAAAGAGTAATATTGAGTACTTATATGTTTTGCTTGGAATTGATTTCCTTCCACCAATAAAATGATAGATATTAAAAAGAGAGAGTGCTGTATAAGCTTCAATTTACAGTTTTTTTAGATATATCTACTTGCTTTCTAAGAAAAGATAGAAATTCCAACTGCTAGAAGAGAAAAATCGATGAAGAACACTATATACTGGTTTTGATTTAGATTCAGATAAACATGGGAGAGAAAGAAAATGATATTTTAAAAAATAAAAATCATGTTTAGAAGAGAGAAAAAATTTATGTTTATTGTCTGTGTATTTATTATATCATATACGAGAGTAGTTTATTTTTTTTATTTAATCTAAAAATTTATGTTAGTATAAAATGATAATTATAATTTTTTAAAATCCAGTCAATAACATTAGAGATAAGTTTTCTTTAAAATCTTGATTATCGATCGAAAACCCTAGATAAATATATATGTGAGAGAGAGACTACTCGTATGAATTTTATTTATTTATTATTAAATTTTTTTAAAAATGTTTTTCAAATATTTTTTTTAAAAATTAATATAGATGTTCAGATATATTTGTGTGCATTATAATTAATTTTACAAACTTTAAAATTAATAATTATATAAATTTACAGTGGCTGGAGGTGAATAGCTTAATTACATTTAATCAACCAAGATATATCAATAGCTTTAATCGTAGGTTAGGGCACCAAATTGAAACACTAGTAGTAGTTGGAGGGTCTGTATGTAGTTTAAGACAAATCATAAACGCATCGTTTTGAACAGCGAATTCAAATTCCTCAGCCCGCACAAAAACACGGGACAGCAACAGCAGCAGCAGCAATTCCCTTTCCTTTCACTACTTTAATTTTCCCTTCGCGTTTCCAGAAAAGTAAAAGCTCCTCCCTCCAGTCTTGGATCCTAACAATGGATCTTCTCCAAAACTACCAAAACGACGGAGAATTAGACCAAAACACTAATTCCTCTCCGGATGCATCCCCTCCACGTCTCCTCCCTTCCAAATCCGCCGCTCCCAAGGTGGACGACACCATGCTAGCCCTAACAGCAGCCTATCAAATGCTCTCTAAACCTATCGACCCCGTACAGCACGTCGTCGCTTTCAACCCTACCTACGACCAGCTGTGGGCTCCGGTTTTAGGCCCCGCCCATCCCTACGCCAAGGACGGCATTGCCCAGGGCATGCGCAACCACAAGCTCGGCTTCGTCGAGGACGCCGCCATTGATTCCTTCGTCTTCGACGAGCAGTACAACACTTTCCACAAGTATGGCTACGCGGCTGACCCCTCTGCTTCTGAAGGTAATAATTATATTGGTGATTTGGATGTTTTAGAAACAAATAATGGGATTTCTGTTTATAATATTCCGCAACACGAACAAAAGAAGCGAAAGATTGAGAAGAAAACGGAAGCTGTTGAGGATGAAGATGATGGAATGGACAAGGAAGAGGTTGAGAATCCGGCTACGGATGCGTGGTTGATGAAGAATAGGAAGAGCCCTTGGGCTGGTAAGAAGGAGGGGTTACAAACTGAGTTGACTGAAGAGCAGAAAAAATATGCGGAAGAGCACGCGAGGAAGAAGGAGGAGAAAGCTGGTGGTGAAAAAGGTGAGCTTGTTGCTGATAAGACTACTTTTCATGGTAAAGAAGAGAGGGATTATCAAGGGAGGTCGTGGATTGCGCCACCTAAAGATGCTAAAGCTAGTAATGATCATTGTTATATACCCAAGAGATTGGTGCATACATGGAGTGGCCATACTAAAGGAGTTTCTGCTATAAGGTTTTTCCCTAAACATGGCCATTTGATACTTTCTGCGGGTATTGATACGAAGGTGAAGATATGGGATGTGTTTAATTCGGGAAAGTGTATGAGAACTTATATGGGTCATTCTAAGGCTGTCAGGGATATTTCATTTTGTAACGATGGCTCCAAGTTTTTAACTGCTGGTTATGATAAGAATATTAAGTACTGGGACACAGAGACGGGCCAGGTTATCTCTTCGTTTTCGACTGGGAAGATTCCATATGTTGTTAAGCTCAATCCTGATGATGATAAGCAGAATATATTGTTGGCGGGTATGAGTGATAAGAAGATTGTGCAGTGGGATATGAACACAGGGCAGATTACTCAGGAGTATGACCAGCATTTGGGGGCAGTGAATACCATCACATTTGTGGATAATAACAGGAGATTTGTTACTTCAAGTGATGATAAATCACTCCGTGTATGGGAATTTGGGATCCCTGTTGTTATTAAGTATATTAGTGAGCCTCACATGCATTCTATGCCATCGATCTCTCTTCATCCCAATATGAATTGGCTTGCTGCGCAGAGTTTGGATAACCAGATCCTTATTTATAGTACCAGGGAAAGATTCCAGTTGAATAAGAAGAAGAGGTTCGCTGGTCACATTGTGGCTGGTTATGCTTGTCAAGTCAATTTCTCACCGGATGGAAGATTTGTAATGTCAGGAGATGGTGAGGGTAAATGCTGGTTTTGGGACTGGAAGAGTTGTAAAGTTTTCAGGACCCTCAAATGTCACGAGGGAGTCTGCATTGGGGCTGAGTGGCATCCGCTGGAGCAAAGTAAAGTGGCCACTTGTGGCTGGGATGGATTGATCAAATACTGGTAAGTAATATGTCTCACACAAGCTTAGTACTTAATAATTTTCATGTTTAATGAATCTACGCATGTTTTTTCAGGCAATATGCCTTGATGTGTCATGCATGCTCAATCTGTGCTGTGAATTCAACATTATCATGTGCTCCAAAATCAAGCACCTCTTTCCTTCAACGGCTCATTGGATATTCGTATTCTAGATTTTGGTTCTGCATTGCATCATTTAAACCATCCTTTTTGTGCTCAGGCTTACTTTGACATTTTTCAAATTGAGGTTTATTGGAGGAAGGATCATTATGTCACATACAAAGAATGCCTGGATGTTCTCCTTCTACCATTTATATTATTTGCTACAGCTTTGTCCTTCTGAAAACCAAACTAGTTTAATGCTGTGAAGATGCTCCATGTTTGGTGGTTGCTTTAGCCATTTTTCAATTATGATGATGTGCAGTCACATTAAAATGGGCATGAATTCGAAGTATCACAGCTTGATTTCTATTAGATCTGTTACAGGCATTTTTAATCATTTTAGTAGTGCTTAGAAAGGTTACAATCACTGCTGCATACACGCTTGCCAAGCACTGCCACTCCACATATAAATTTGATTACATGATGGATTGGTCATTACATTTGGAAGCTAACGTTCATCTCATGCTTCTGGCTGCAGGGACTAGTTGCTTTCAGATCTGACTTGGCACATATATCAGTTGAGCAACCCACTTCATACACCCTGCCAGAGATATAATAAAGATATCCTGAGGAATAGATGAGTGGAAGAACCAAACTAGTTTCTTCTATCCAGAAATTTATGTGCAGCAATTGGTGAGAATTGATTGAGGACCATTGAGAAACTCATCCCAACGTTTGCAAGTTAGTCATTTTTTTACTGATGTAAACTAAATATGTAACTTTCTTAAAAGGTCCTGAGTTTTTTTGGCAGTTCTCACCTAAATTTTCAACAGTTGATATATACTGGCGTGATCCTATCTTAGTTTCAATGAGGCATCATGCATATCAAGCACGGACTTGCTATGATTAGTGCACTAGTTCACTGTTTAGTGACTGCATCCCACCTTCGTTCTCAAGACCAGGTATTCTACCTGGTCTTGGCCAACATGAGGTTCAACCTCTGATTAGGACAGGCCTAATTTTGGAGCTAACTTGCAGAATTCTGACTTAATCCTTGGAAATAACAAGTTTATTTTCTTTAGTCAATATGGTACAATTGATTATAACATTCTAATTGCATTGGGTTATATACATTACATATTGTAAATTCTCTGGGGCGTTAAACAAGTTTCTCAATTTTTTCTTTTGATATAATCTTTATTGAACTCCTAATTGCGATGATAGGAAATCGTTTTATCTTATAATTGATACTTGACATGCAAACTTCGAGGGGCAATCTGCTGACATATCACGATTTCAATATTTTGAGATTTGCTGCAGCTCTAAACTTCCACAAGGTTTGATAGTAGTGCATAACCCAAAGTTACTGTCATCCCTGGGCTGTTATTGAGTTTAGAACCACGCAATGCTTTAAGGTCGTATTCAATAGATCAATTTTCAGTCTGTATAGCTTGCATAGCAACGAGCATCTTCCATCAATTTTTACGGCCATTTATGTTTCATGGAAATATTGTTGTTTCTATGATAGATGATCCTGTAATCGATTGAAATTTATTTTATCACATCCATAAATTTGTCGTGTTCTTTGTTCATGCATATCGTTTAGTATGGAAAATTTTGATGCTGCTGCCTGCAGGTTATCTTTCTAGCATTAGATGTCGACAAGCATGAAAACATAAAAATCAGACCATCTGGAACTCGACGTGCAGAGTTATGTATAGATATACAGATTCAATTTCTGATTGCTGCAGAGGACATCGGACTCGTATTAGCAGCCTTGCTCACATTCCAGGCAAGAACTAGAAATGAACTATAACATCTGGATTTTACAAGTTAAAACAATAACTTGGGAATATACAAGTCATATCAGTGGTATTCCCATTCAGTATTCTTCTGTATGCTAAAGCTGGGAAAATATAGTAATTATAAAAATGAAAAGGCACCTCAATCAGTGCCAGTCAATAATGTAAAGCTGATTCGGCCACCCCTCCAAGCTCAAACGAACACCCGGTGTAGACTACGGTTCATGAGCAGAACTTTTTTGAATTCCCATTGACAATAAAATCAAATCATTGTAACAGTAGTGGCTTCCCACTTGTGGACAAAGCCACCATTCTTAGCGCATTCTCTGCCTAAACCCAAGGAAGACAAGAATCATGATGGAATATAATTAGTGTCTGCTGTATGAAACAGGATCCTCATGAAGATACCACCACCTGCAGAGTCTTACAACTTGTGGCATTCAGTTTCTGTTGAAGGATCTTGTTCAGAAGTCCTGGATTGGCCTTACCTTCTGATAATTTCATCACCTGCAAATGAATCAGCGTTCAGAATTATCCCAATTTACTAAAGCATAATCAGGGGAAAATAAATTACATGAAGGTTCGTCTTATACCTTGTAATGGTTTGTATACCTGGCCAGCAAAAAACCCTTGCATCTTAGTTTTTCTGGCTCGGTATTGTTCCAACTGATTTGGATTCTCTGAAAGCACTTTATCTACCATATTCTCAATATGAGCAGGATCTACTGTCTGTTATATTGAAACATGTGAGAAACCCACCTATTTGAACTAAAATAGTGTTCCTCTCCTGATTTCCATAAGACATTTATGCCATGTTCAATCACTGAAATTACACTCATCTCACACTGTTACATGTGTTAAGAAACTGAACCACAGATAAGGCTTGGCTTGGCTTGGCGGATACCTCCTCCAGCCTTTTCCACAACCATAGAGCACATTGCGTTTACAAGCTAAGCTTCTAAGCTTTGCCAACACCATGACCAACTCATTAGACAATCGACAATTGAAGCACTAAGGTAATCAATCACACAGCTGAATGATATGTTATTTGTTGTCACCTGTTAAAGAAAGTAAAGGTTGAAACTTTATTAGAAGATTCAACAAACTCAGCTTTTCTTCACGTCTCTGGTTCTCAACACCATGCTAGACCAAGAAGGCTTGTAAAGGAATGACACAATCATGCAGCTGCGCTTCCAGTTAATTTGATTGTTTCTGCCGTTTGGCATGGTAAAGGCAATCACATTTATTTTTTAGCTTATTTATGCATAAACTCAGTGCATCTACTTCTAAACTAAAAGTTGTTGAACACTTAGTTATTGCTGTGAACGATAGTTAAATATGCTGCAGGGGCAAAGTGAGGGACTTGCCTGAACCAAATTTTTTTCTTCTATCAGTCCCTTAACAGTTCCACATTTGGCCATGAGCTCGAATAGTACTGCAAATAATAAAAGAGGAATTCTCAAAAATTAATTAATAGTTATTTATGCTTATGCCCAGAGAACAACCAAAAGTACCAAAATTTTGCTCATTTATTACTCATCAGCACAGAGAAAATAATAGAAAGGCTCCAGATTTTAACCCTGTTAACTCCTGTATAACATAAGGCTGCAGATATAAGCCTGTCTGTGACTGCTGTATAACATAAGGCTGCAGAGATTTAAGCCTTTATCTCTAACTATTAAATGCCTTCAAAGTATGTTCTCTTGTAGAATTCTTGGGCCGGCCTTTACAGGACAATAGCAAAGGATAAAAAAAGATGGAAAACTGAAATAAAAGTTAATCTGCTTACATGCTAATGAGGCTTTCGTAATCCGCCAAGAAAAAGAAGCAAAACCTTCAAGCTAATGAGGTAGGTAAATTATATTTTATCCCACTTTGTTTGAAAATGTTAATATTTGTTGCCATTTTCCAAGTGTAAATAACATGTTTAAACCAGGAAGACATGAGAAAGATGCTGAAAAAAAATGAAAAGAACTATCTCGCAGCAAGCAACAAAGACAACTAATAATGGCTGAAATGACATTAATTCTTGCAAATATCGTATTATGGAGATGAGATGGGGTATTATATCATGATCGAGTATATTTCGGAACAAAAAGAAAAGGAAAAGGATCCTTATGAAGGTTGAATAAGAAATAGCATTGGTAATGGAAACAAACTTTTACCTCTTTCCCAATCTTCCCACTGATGGTCCTACCTATAATAGAAGCTATAAGCTCAGCCAACTCATGGGGTTTAAGTTTAATATCATTTCTAGAGACTTTCTCATTTTTCATATAGGCAGCAATATCCCCCATTATCCAGTTGGTAGCCAGCCTCACATCAGCACCCTTGGCAATTGTTGTTCAGCGACCTACAAATTCATTTGGTGAAAGAAAATCCTACATCAGATCATTCCAGCGTGATACCTTATACAAGAAATGCCTGTGATTCAACTAACACATGAATTGAGAACTCAGTGAGTAGAATCATTCAGGCTTGCTCTACAGTAAGACAAGAAAATTGCTCAAGGTGCAGCTTCGGAGGTTTGGAATTCAATAACCTGAAACTTAACTTGCATAGCAAACCATACATCACTCTGTTGGTGCATGATGCACTCTTGAGGCTTGTAACATTGCTAGATGCTGGAAAACACCATGAGCTTTCCACAACAGAGTTTTGAGGAAAAATTCATTGTAACAAATTTTTATGGAGGAGATGGAGACAATAAATTGAGAACCCCAGAACATATAATTCGAAGGCTTTCTAATCCAAAACATATTTCTTCTCAAACTTTTATACCACGTTTCTGGCAATGAAAGTATATAATATGAACGTGGTAATGTATTTTTTGGTCTCTGAACAGTTGAAAAACAGATCCTAGAGGATACAAGAGACATTAAAGACCGTGTCAAGGACTTGGATTTATGTCATTTGCAAGGAAAAGAACATCCTGCATGCTAAGGCCCATGCTCTCATACCTCCGGCGCTTCATTTCTGGAAGTTCTGGTAAAGAATTTTGAATACTATCAACGTACTCTTTTTTGACAATAACTTCTGGAAGGTCTGGTTCTGGAAAATATCGATAATTGGAAAGCCGCTCCTTTTTCGTCATTGTAATTGTTTTCTAAACAGAGTAAAAGAGGATATAAGTAACCATTAATGAGTGAGTGAACTACATCTTCTATGTATTGCGCTAAAATGAGGGACAGTAACTAGTTTTAACTTAAATGCCTTCTTCCCAAAGCCGAGTTTCTTGTACAATTGAACTGCATTGCCCTTGACTGTGCAGAAGCACTTGTCTTGATATCTCAACATCAATTGCCTTATTAACTGACGAGAATGAATTTAAATTCTTTATCTCAACCTTTTTTTTGGATTCGTGGAAACCTCACCTCTCGAAAAGCACACTTTGTAAGTCTAGATGAGTGAGTAAAACCCCGGCTATCCTAGACTCTTACAAGAGGTGCACGCCCTAACTAAACCTGCCAACACGAAATATAAGAAGATATATGAACAGCTAAAAATCACAAATCACATATAACATAGTTCTTTCAAATTTGCCAAATAATGCATTTGACAGTACATCTATTCTTTAGAATGAAGTGATAATCACAAGAAAGAAAATGAGCTTGGAAAGGATGAATCTGCTAGTGAAGAGCATGACAAAAGAAATTCTTGCATTTCCAAGATGGCTGAAAATGTATTCACCCATTTGCAAGCATATGCCATGTCTTTCACTATTCAGTATAACTTCTGTAGATTCAAGTTATCAGTATAATATTATAATGATTCATAGCATTTCACTTATTGCTTTCTGAGTTCTGAAATGCTCCACATACTGAGCTAACTAAATCATGTATTTGAGTTGCTTGAAGCACAAGTTCAAATTACCTTTGTCCCGAACTCTGACTGTCCAATTGGTCGAATTGTTACATCACAGCGAAGTGATCCTTCCTTCATATTACCATTACTAATTCCCAAGTAGCGGACCACCCTCTGTATTTCAGCTGCATACTCTGCAGCTTCAATACCATTTTTCAGATCAGGTTCAGAAACAATTTCAAGCAAAGGCACCCCTGCTCTATTCAAATCAACCTGCAAAAGACGAGAAACACTTGTCAGGTGCCCAGTCACAACACAAGTTTAATTATCTACCAATTCTGAAGATTTAGAGGAAATAAGGTAATGAACTAATAACCCCCTTTCCCCATTATCCATAATGGTTCAATGAAAAAATCATGAGGACAGCAATACCAGGAGCACTAGATACTGATGTCACATTCAAGAAAAATGAAACAGAAAATCTGCCAGAAGACACAACAAGAATTCAGGAAAACTAGTAAAAACTAAGGAAATAAATAATTTCCTGAGAATAACCCCCATTTCCTGAATGAAGCAGCTTCCCAGTATCCTCTTCCATATGAACTCTTGTAATGCCAAACCTCCTATGCCCACCACCAAATTCCACAGGAAGATCCAAATCAACATAACCACTGGTTGCGATTGGTATATCAAACTGAGATATTTGGTAAACCTTTGGAAGGTCAGGGTAAAAATACTGTTTCCTATCAAACTTTGAGTTTAAAGACAGCTTGCAATTAAGCGCAAGACCTAATTTCACAGCAAATTCAATGACTTTGGAGTTCAAAACTGGTAAAGCACTTGGCAACCCCATGCAAACAGGGCAGATACTTGTGTTTGGTTGAGCTCCATAGTTGTATGGACATCCACAAAAGGCTTTGGTTAAAGTGGATAGCTGGACATGGGTTTCTATACCAATGATTGCCTCATAGTCTTTTATAAGTTTATCAATAGTTTTGGTCTGAGTTAGGGTAGAAGCTTTGATTTGCGGGTTCTGCTTTTTTTCTTGTATGGCTGTTTGAGTTTGTGTGACGCTGCTGCTTTTCATCGTCCAGTACAAGGCACCATTCTTTCTTCTAAAGAAGGCACTTGGATATAACAATAATGGGACGGTTTGAATGCTTCTTAACAGAGTGGAAGCCGTAGTTTTTTTTATTATTAACTCCAAACTCCCTGCAAAATATCAAATAGGTAATAAGCAAAAGCTACAATGGACAATTCGAAGAGCATTAAAATGTGAGAGCAAGAAACCAAACAAAAAGAAAAAGCAAACATAAAACTTCCAACTTCGAACTGAAACTGAAGAGAAGGGCTAAATTGATGAGTACCCAGAAGATAAATTCATGATTAAACCTTGAAAACGAAGGCCATAAATCCTTGATGAAATTGAAATCGTAAGTAGAAAAAGGAGTGATTTTGAAAGGTACCCATGAATTATTTTGTCAAAAAATAATGAAAATAAGTTAAAGGAACACAAAGAGAAAGACAAAACTTGAACACGAAACAGATATTACTTGAATGAATGTATAGCAACGGCATTACTAGAAGTGAAAGGAATAATGATCGTTCGTTTAATTACTTTCATTACCTGTTTTCTTCAGTACCGAAGTAACCCACCTACTTGAAGAAAAGCTTTCTTTTTGTTAAAGAAGTAACCATAGTCAGACTCTAACCGATCAGACTTGTATAAAATGTTTCAAAAAGACAGCAATTAAGTGGGCGTGCCGGAGTGGTTATCGGGCATGACTAGAAATCATGTGGGCTTTGCCCGCGCAGGTTCGAATCCTGCCGCTCACGATTTTTGAACTATTTTTATCACTGTATTGGTCAGAGCGCGGGCGAATATACTGAACGATCAACCGGAAAAGTTTTCCGCTTGTCAGGCAGGTTCTGCCGGTATATATTGACCAAGTCACAAACATAGCTGGAGTTCCAGAAACTTCCAAAATTAGCGTGGAACATTAAAGCACTCCATATTTAGCACATCTCCACAGTGCCCTTTGTTGTTAATCCACAAAATATGAGCTAACAAATACCAAGGTAGTTTTGGATTAACACAAACCATCCACAATGACATTTAATTTGTGACGCCCATTTTCTACCTCAAGTCGTCTCAGCCCCGATTTGTAGCTGTTGGTGGCGGTGGTAGTGGCGGTGGTGGCCGTTGGTGGTAATGGGGAGTGAGACTACTGCACGATCAAGGAAAGTAATGGTGGTGGCAGACCCAAGCCGCGAATCAGCAGGTGCGCTTCAATATGCACTTTCCCATGTAGTTGTTGAGAATGATGAGCTCATACTTCTCCATGTCGAAAGTGCATATTCTTGGTGGAACACATTTTCGTTCAGAAAGATATATAGTCTAACGCCAGGTCCCATGCCCAACTCATCTGAAGGAGGTGGTGGAGTTGGGGAAGGTGACTTTCTTGAAGCAATGCGGCAGGTGTGCCGGATTGCCCAGCCAAAAATACCTGTTCGCTTAGAAAGGACTCAATTAATGGAGGAGACCAAGGACAAGGCGAATGCTATCCTTAACAAAAGCAACCTGTTAAGGGTCGATCTTCTTATTATTGGCCAGAGACGAGGTTTCTCTACTGCAATATTAGGGTGAGATTGACTAGCCATCTTCAAACTTTGCATTACATTACATGTAAAAATAGCTAGGAGGATGAAGAAAAAGAAAAAAAAAATGAAGAAGAAGAAGCAAGGGGAATCCCTGATTCTGCATGAACTCTGTTAATAAACCACATTCACAAACCTAACTAAATCTATCCCTGAAGGGCTCAAAACTGCCAAAATCGAAAGCTAGCTAGAATGCAGAAATACCATGTTTCCGATACAACACTTTTTTTATGGCTGTCTCTATCTGGTCTCATCTCCTGCTACTTTTTCTTTTTAATTTCTGGCCTGTGACCATGCATATGTGGTTACTTGGTAAAGAAGAATTATGTAAAATTATGGTCCGCAAACACTCCAACCATGAAAATGAGGTATGGTTCTCAGCATGCCATTCAAATAGTAAATCTGGGTAGCAGTAAGACAACTAGTCCTGCTCATGAAGATGATCGAAAATGTTGGAGAGAGGTTGGGCAGGAGAGAGCTTGAAACTCCATCAGACTCAAAAGATCCTATTAGAAATGGATATCATTTTGATCTTGTTATCTTGATCTTTTTGGATATGAAGTTCCTAATTCTCTGTTCTTTTTTGTATCTGTAGCACAAGCAGGTATAAACTGTCAGGAGGGTCGGGTACAAAGGGGTTAGATACAGCGGAGTATTTGATTGAGAACAGCAAGTGCACTTGTGTTGCAGTGCAAAAAAGAGGACAGAATGCAGGTTATGTGCTCAATACAAAAACCCACAAAAACTTCTGGCTCCTAGCATGATCATTTTTGGTCAATCTCACAAAATTACTTGAAAATCCTGCAAGCTTCTTAGAGATGATCACTTCCGAGGTCAGCTTCCTCTACAGTGATGGCAATTGATTCCAGAAGAAATGCATCGGCCAATCAAGTGACTCCAAACCCATTGCTCCCCCTAAGCCTCGCTTGTTTATGACATATACAAATCAATTTCAGAACTTGAGATTGTTAATCCTTTCATTGCCAGATTGAGTAAAACCTTTTATTTAAGTTTTTTCTTTTCATTTCATTACTGTTTTCATCTCTTAATTCTCACAATTTCCAAACATATGAAAAGAAGGTAGCGACCGAAGCTAGATTCTATTTTCTTGTAACTTATTTCTCATGTTCTTTCCTCTAGTCTTTCTGTCAAAATGAGATCAATCGTAGCCAATGACAAACTCATATTTTTTTTAATCGCTCATCAAGGTAGCCTCAACAGAATAAAAATGCGACAACCTATCGCATGGTATATTACTCGAGTTTGTAAGTGAGCCAGCATATGGAAACACGGGTAAGAAAGCTGAAGAGCCCCTGTACAAGGACTTAAATTAGCAAAACCTAGAACCTTAAAGTTCATCGTGCATGGCTTGTTCTACACGTACTTCCACCTGGGGAACTGCATTGTCCAAGACATGAGCAACATTAATACCATCTTCAATAACTCTGGGTATAGCATCTTCAACAGCTCTGGCTTTGATGGCTCCTTTTCCGGCCATACCAGCTTTTAAGGCAGCAGTAACCTTTCTCTGCAATGCAAGTACGCCAATGCGCTTGGAAACAACATAAAGAACAGCACATGAAAACAAGAAAAATCCTACTGCCAGTATCACCCTGTCCAGATACAATTAGCATTAGGTTTCGTGAAAGGAGATAATTTCTGATCAAGATGACATAAAAAGCCATTTTCTTTTCTTATATACCTGTCAAGAACATCCTGACGTTGCATCATAGAGAGAAGATTGCGAGTTCGCGATAACAATGAGCGATGACCCTTATATTCTGTTTCAGCCTTCCTTAATACTGTTGTTGATTCCTCTGCAAAACCAACCTGAATACATTAGCTAAATTACCCAAAGGTTTCTAAAGGATGTGTACTCTCAAAAGCACAGAACCAGGACATGCCATGTAATAAAGAGCACAAGTTGAAATAAGAAAAATACTGAAGAAACGCCAAAACTGTGTAAAAAGTATTAAATCATACTAGATTGGGTAGCATCATCTGGCAAAAATTTCCAGCAAATATAAATGACCAGGTAAAGAATAAAGTTGAAAATTATGTGGCAGCAGTTAAAAATGGCATGTTGAATTACAAACCAATGCCAACAGGAAATTGTAATGTGATGAAGTCCAATGATACCAAAAGGCAAGTCTAAAGAGCCAAGACCTTCAGATCAATAACTCAATCTAATACTAAAACCAGTGTGATGATATCCAAACACACAATTGGAGCAAACCATGCTCATTATTCAAAATTACCAACAGAGTCCAAGTTGTGACCTCAGCAGGTTCACAGGCTTTGATTGTCAAAGACAAATTCCAGCGGGTTGTCTTTGATTTCTAGGACACAGTATATGAATGAATTGAAACAAGTGGTAAATTAAGGTTTTGATTTTGTGTATAGAATTTCTGCTTAAGAACTCAATTGTTTATGATACATTACAGCAGAGTGACAGGAAAAGAAAAGGAAACATCGAATCAATGAAAAGAATAGAGTCAAGTTCCATTTTGAAAAGCTCACTACGATTTCCAGAAAGCTTTATGAGAAGATGAACCAAAAACTAACATAGTCGAACAAATTGTTTATCATCTTCTATCTGGAATCAACTTTATAAAAATATCATCTTATCAAAAACTCACAAAGTTTCACTTTCACATAATTTATAAAACAGGAAAAGAAGATGAAATGCAATAATAATTGCTTGGAAATTAAAATCAGCCAATCTTGAACTATTATGGAACACGAAACAGACAAAAATTAACAGGATAACAGCAAATAATGACATGTGTTGAAAGGAATAAAGAGCGAAGGAGGATTCTCGCAATGTCATTATGATGGAGGAAGAGAAAAAAACTGAAATGCATTCAATGTGCACAATCAAAAAACACGTACCAAAAGTCATGAGAGTGCCAGTACTTCTTTCAACCTCCTGCAAACCCAGGGTAAGAAAAAGAAATTAACAACAAAAAGAAATTAAGAAAAAATAAAAAAGAGGGAAAGAGACAGCGCAATGACTGACCTGAACCATTAGCTGACGAGTTCTGCGAAGGCTCTCTGTGATGCTCTCTGCAGCGGATGTCATCCCAGCCTTTGTCCTGATGCAAAGCAACAAATCACGCAACAAGTGTTAACAAAACCACATAAAAAGAAGAGTAACAAGTTGCCCATTTTCTTTAAACAGTGCATGATATAATTTACTCCTTAAATCTATAAAGAAAACAATGAATCGTTACAGTATTCTGATTGGAAGTAAAAAGAAGAAGACATACTGCAAATTTCGCCTGCGAATAGTGGACTCTTCTCCACCACCAAGAAGAAGCTCTCTCTACAATGATTAATTACTATAATTTAAAACAAAACACAATCAGATTTAAAACAGAACAAATAAAATAGAAAAAGAGAAGCACCTCTTGTTGAGCAGCTTTTCTCATGTTAGCCTTGGCTTGCAAATTAGCATTTCTCAAACTCACCCGCAAACTAATTCCAAATAAGACACACAAATTAGTGTTTATTAAGAAGACAATTAAGGGAGAGTGTAAAGAGAAAGATTTACTCATGGTAAAGCTGTTTCCAGGAATCAAGTAATTGGAGGGCGGATTTGATTTGATCATCGGTAGGCAATTGAGGAGCAAGGAGATCGAGCTGGAACTGCAAGGATTGAAGCAAAGCTAAACAATCTTGTGCCAAGCCATTCAATCTCGGAAGAGAAACAGAAGAAGAAGAAGATTTGGCGTCGTAATCTTGAATTGCTTTCATGTGTTGTTGTGCTTTAGAATACGTCTCTTCCCATTCTTTCTTCGCCTTCTCCACTGCCTCCACTACCTCATCCATATCGCCCTCGTCCTCGTCCTTCGAAAGATGTTTCTTCTCCTCCTAATCCACAACCGCTACCGCTAGGAGTGATCTCTGCCTGTAGACCAAAATAAAATAAAATAATGAAGGGATAAAACTGTAATTTTCTTAAGGCCGTGTTTGGTCAGCAGTTAAAAAGTTAAAAATAAAATAAAAATTGAGGTAGTGTGTGCATCCAGTAAACACTGAGAAACACACCAATCAAACATGCTTTAAAAAGCACTCGGAAGTAATTTTAAACGAATTCCCAAACATCAGTGTTCAAAGAGAAGGGTAAAGGTGTAAAAAAATGGATAGATGATACGCTGGGCATGTAAAAATTTAGTTGGAATAAGTAGGATTCAATAAATATAATTAAAAAACAATAAATTAAAGGGATAATTAGTCTCTCAATAAAGACTCAGGAACTCGACGGAATAAACCATGAAGACTCGACTACTTAAATTGAAATCACACAGATGTTTTTATTAAAAAGCAACACCACCTAAATCTCCAAAGTTATTAAGAAGAGGGCTGTGATTGTTGAACTGATCTATTTATTTATTTATTTATTTTTGAAATGCGACACCTTTTTACGCACATTATGGACGACACCATAATGAAAAGACCAAACTACTGGCAAGCAAGCGAGTCTTGTGACCAATCATCACTTCTCATAGACCAGCTTTCCGTGTTTCTAAGAGCTTCAGTTCAAGAATATCCAGTGACAGGCTACATGCTTGAGGCATTGAATACAGTTGCATAATTAATTCGTTTCCAAAAATACATCGATGGGCAACAAATTTGCCCTCTTAACTGGGCCAACATACGAGTTACAACTACTGCTAGTGCTAGTGGAGCAACTGGGATCAAAAACAAAATTGCTGCAGCCACCGCTGCACTGCTTCCATATCACTTGCCATATACATGTAACGGGAAAATTATCCTTTTCATATACAAAGGATGGAATTGGATGGCATTTCCTCTCATCTTAGCAGCTTCTGCCAAGGCAAAGAAATAAAGTTGATGCATTAATGGAAAATCACACCTCCACAGACATGGTGGTGCCAAGTTTCAGCTATTTACCATAAGCAACACCAGCCAGTTTGAAGCCTTTAGCAGGAAGCTGGTTGATAAGAAGAGTTTCCAGTTGGCTAGCAATGCTCTTTCCGGGAACTATAAAATAAAGAAAAGAGGTGTGGCTTCTTTCTCATATACATAGGATGGGATTTCACAGGATTTTCTCCCATCATAGCAGCTTCTCCAAAAGCAAAATGATAGAGCTGTTGATGCATTAATGAACAGTCACACTTTCCAGAGAGAGATTGGTTGTGCCGAAATTCCGATGCTTACCATCAGACACATTTGTCAGTTTGAATCCTTTAATAGGAAGTTGGTTGATGAGAAGAGTTTCCAGTAAGCAAGCAATACTCTTTCCAGGGACTATGAAATAAAGAAAAGCAGCATTGTCCATTCCTTCCTTTGAACGATGTGAACGGATTCGGCTTTCAAGATCATCTGTCTGTGGCAATCATTGAGCAAAGAGTGTAACTAATAGAAGTTTGAAACTCAATAAATCAAATTGATGAGCTTAATCCATAACCAGATGCTGGAAATGAAGGTTTATTATCACACCTAGTATATCTGGGTTATTTTTATAGACATCTTGAATCAATGACAAAAATAAACCCTCGTGTGATGATCAATGTCTGAGTGTGAGCTCAAAAATAATAACAGGAAAGGAATATGTTAAAAGAAAGTACCACTCCAACATATAGCTTCTTGTCGGGTCTCAACATCACATAGACACATGAAGCACTGATTGCTGATGGAGGTGGCTGTTCCCTGGCACCAATAGCAACACAGTGGAAGGATACAACTTCTGATGTGTTTTTCTGTTTGTAGAGCTCAATCAGCTTCTTCTGGCATATCATGGTCATAGCTTTTTCAATATCTTTCTTCTCCACAGTATCCACTGCCTTTGTTGAATGGGTACTAGGATGAAGAGAAGCTGTGGTTCCACTCGATAAATGGGCTTCATCAGAATCATTAACAATCCTATCAGAAGATAACTGTCCGACACTGTTGACTGTTTTTCCTGAAATAACTCCGTTAGCATAAGCTGAAAAATACAGGTCTTCGGCTCTTTGGATTATACTTTCAGGGATTCCTTCCTTCTTAGCTGTTTCAAAAGCGAGACTTTCTCTGCAAATCCCATCTATCAACCTCCAAGTTGGTTTTGTTCGTCCATCCACATACTCTGTTCCCATTGCTTTATACACGGTGTTGCTGGTATCAAGTGGCAAATCAAATATGCTGTGCAAATGGGTGGACACAATTCCAAGACAACCAATTCTATCAAGAGTTTCAACAATGCTTCCAGCAATACAAGCACCCTTAGCTGTTTCTGTTCCTCGACATATTTCATCTACAAGCACAAGGCTTCTTGATGAGGCTCCAGTTACAAGGGACCGGATTTCTGACATTTCCACCTGAGCCATTAAAACAAGATAAAGAGAAACTCAAACAACCACATCTGTACAACCCAATCTGCAGGGTAGACAACAATTAACAAGAGATCAAAAAGCCACATAAATTGTAATGGAGCATAAAAAAGTCAATACCTGAAATGAACTTTTTCCATCAGCAGGACTATCGTAAGATTTCATGTGAAGCATTATAGAATCAAAGTTAGGAATCAAAGCTGACTCTGCAGGCACCATAAGTCCACATATTCCAAGTAATGCAGATGCACAGATTGATCGAAGCAAACTAGATTTACCACCTCCGTTTGGTCCTGTCAAAAGAAACAAGGACCGCATATCCACTGTATTCTGTACAGCACTGCCTTCTGCAGCATTAAACCAATATGGAGACAGACCAACTAATTTCATCCTGTTAGCACCATCCGAGGATTTCACGCCCTGCTCAAACCATCAGCATCAGAGACTAACAAATGCATAGCAGCTTGATGAGATAAAATCTTACAATACAATAAAATATTGTAGGGCCATAGTGTGACATATCCATCAAGTATAACAGCTACAGCTAGAGAAACATCCTTGAATAAAACTTCTAAGTAGCACGGACGTCATTAGACACTGAACACTACTAGGCCAGGTGATCAGAAATGCAGGAAATTGTACAATATGAATCAAGTGCAGCACATTCGCTTTGAAATAATCCATGTTCAAAGGACCATGCAGTATTCTATGATTCAGTTTTTGTCATACAGCAACATAATACAGAGGAAAACAAGATCAATCACCTGGTTGCCATTTTTAGTTTTAGTAAAAGCAACTCCACTAATAATAAGTAAATTATAGCTTCTGATGATAATTAATGATATTAGAGCACACCAGGGATCCAATAGCATGATGCAGTACATGTCTGATTGTTAGCATAGATGGAAACACAAAATTTGTGTTCCTTTTAGGCAGCTCCAATCATGGTTACACAACTAGGAGATGGGAAACAAACATTTGCAGTACATTCAAAATCTTTGTTGTTTGATGCAAAAGTGAAATGATAGTGCTAGATAGTACGCTTTGAAGGTTCTATACTGCAGACATGAAAAACAGCAATGTTAATTTGACCTGAAATTGACATGTTGCATACTACCTTTGAATCATTGAACCCAGTAAGAGTGGGAAAAACCCATTTTCTCCGTCTCCCTTCACTGTAATAAAATTGAAACCAAAATTAGATGTGGATCAAAGAACACCAAATATTTAGGACAAGTCAGACATGATAGTGAATCAATTAACAAAAGATTCACAACTCCAACATTTCAGATTACTAAGTCCCAAAATATTCCAAAAAACTTTAATTGAGATAATAAAATGGAAAAATGAAAGTTTTTCTTGCTGTTAATTACCAGCCAAACCCGTAGGAAAATGACCAAAGTCAATTGGGTTTGGGCAGGCATAACGCCCCACCTCATGAAATGCAGCCCACAACATTCGTGAGCGCGCACACGCGCAGCGGCATTGTCATTTCAGTGGAAGAATATGCCAGATAAAAAAATATGCATTCACAAGTTGATGTTGAAAAGTATAAACTTGTAAAGGCATGAACTCATCCAAATCACTTTGTGACATCAAATAAAAAAAAAAATTGCCTTCTGCACAGTTTGCTGGTTGAGCAAACCATTTAAGAGGTAGGTCAACTTATGAAGATGGGTTCGGATCAGCTTTATGAAGGTAGATAGGATGTTTCACAGACTGGTGGACTGTTTGTAACTGATAACCAGTGAGCCTAGTCTAAATCAGGTTTTTATCCAGCAGCCAAAAACAATACACATAAACTGACATTCCCATTCTCTTAGCCCATCCATAAGAACCTGTCAATTAAAATGGGGATTGATATTTTGTTGTTGTTCTTTCTATTATGGGTCAAGTAGATTCACTAAATTGTAAAGTATTTTGTACTCTTTTGTGTTTGTCTATTCCAGCAAACTTTTCAAATAAACACCACTGCAGAAGACAATATCATTCATCAAACAGTAATAAAATAGTTTCTGATAAGATTAGCAATGAAATTATGCTCAAACTCGTAAATTTCCAAAAATATGAGCAACCAACCTCACGTGAGCAAATAATGCCTTTGCAATGACAAGCACCATTGATGCAAAGACAAGGATATTGACTTTTGTTTGTAACTCAGCAGAAAGCCCCCTCAACAATTCCAAAACCTTTGCTTTTGCTTTCTCGCCTGCATCATGATACCTGAAACAGAGGTGGCATGAGTTGATTATTGAAACAGAACTAAATACAGAACAGAATCTAAGAAAGTGAAAGGGGAACATCACAGAAATCTTCTTTCATAGTTTCAAGTAAAAACAGCACACCTCGTTAAAGCATCCTCCAACTTAATTGTAGTAAACCATTCCTCACCAACTTTTCTGCCTTTAGAATCTACAGCAGGTTTAAGCTGTTTAATTTGTTCTTCCCCGGGGGTCCCAGCCCATACTGCTGGTGCAAACCGTTTTCCCTTGAACCAAACAGCTCCATGCTCTCGAGCATACAATATTTCTCCCTTTGGACCACCAAAGGGGGATGTGGTTGCTTTTATTCTTGAAATGATAGGAATGAAATCTTCAGTGAC